CAGGCATCCACTGGGGGTCCGGGAACGTATCCCGCGTGAGGAAGGAGAGACTTCTGTATTCCGATTTTACAGGAGAGAAACAGAAGCGTGAAAGGATTAATTAACCTGCCCCAGAGCACACAGCCATTGATCGCCGAGCCAGATGTAAAAGCAGGTGGGCCTGACGCGGCTCAGAATTCTTGATGAGGCCAGCACTTCTCTCACTTCCATGTGCACGCACGTCAGCTGGGGAGCTTGGAACATGCACATGTGGGCTCAGCGGTTCTGGGGTGGGGCCTGAGAGACGGCATTTCTAACAGGCTCCCCGGTGTTGCAACCCTGCTGACCTTACTTTGAGTAGCAAGGTGTTATTTTGCCTCTTTTCTAAAGCCTCACACCTTTAATGCCTCCCACCTCCCCACCCCGGCCCTTCCTTCTATCGAGTCCCCCATGTTCTTGTTCATGTCCCACCTCAGCCCGGAACGGGTATATAGCTGTAGCTGCTATAGCTCAGCAGACTCTTACACCCACTGCTCTGTGTCTCTCTCCTCCTAGACTGTCAGATCCTTGAAGACAAATGCAGTCATGCACTTTTCATGACATTAAAGGATGGGCCACATATACAACGGTGCTCCCAGAGGATTATAATGGAGCCAAAAAATTCCTAGCGTCTAGTGCAGCGGTTCTCAACCTGTGGGTCGCGACCCCTTTGGGGGTCGAACGACCCTTTCACAGGGGTTGCCTAAGACCATCGGAAAACACATATATAATTACATATTGTTTTTGTGATGAATCACTATGCTTTAATTATGTTCAATTTGTAACAATGAAAATACATCCTGCATATCAGATATTTACATGACGATTCATAACAGTAGCAAAATTACAGTTATGAAGTAGCAATGAAAATAATTTTATGGTTGGGGGTCACCACAACATGAGGAACTGTATTAAAGGGTCGCGGCATTAGGAAGGTTGAGAACCACTGGTCTAGTGACAGTTGCAGCTGCAATAAAGCCAAAGCCATAGTGCTTTCTTAAAAGAGTGACACCTCCCATGAGGACCCTCGGGTATTGCAGAAGCCATCGTTATAGGAGGTGACGGACGGCTCCATGCCCATGTCGCCCCTGGATACCTCCCAGTGGACAGATGTGGCGTGGGAGACAGCGGTACTGAGGATCCTAACCCTGTGTGGGCTTAGGCCAATGTGTGTGTTTGCCTTCGTTTTTAACAAAAAAGTTTAAAAAATAGAAAAAGCTTATAAAATAAGGATATCAAAATAATTTTGTACAGCAGTGCAATGTATTGTAAGCTAAGTTATTACCAAAAGTCCAAAAATTTAAAAAATTAAAAGTTTGATTCCCAATCAGGGCTCATGCCTGGGTTGTGGGCTCCATCCCCAGTGTGGGGCATGTAGGAGGCAGCCGATCAATGATTCTCATCGTTGATGTTTCTCTCTCTCCCTTCCTCTCTGAAATCAATAAAAGCATATTAAAAAACAAAACAAAACAAAGACCACAGCAGTGGACAGTAGTCTAGGCCTTCACATCCACTCACCCACAATAAACTCCAGTCCTAAAGGCTCCATTCATGGTCAGTGCCCTGCATAGGTGCACCGTCTTAATCTTTTATACGTATTTTTACTGTACCTTTCCTGTGTTTAGGTCTGTGTAGATAACAAACACTTACCTTTGTGCTATAGCTGCTACAGTATTCAGTACAGTAACATGCTGTGCAGGTTTGTAGCCTAGGAGCGTTCGGCTACACCACCGGCCTGGGGGTGGCAGGCTGTGCTATCTGTGTCTGTGTGAGCGCACTCACTCTGCATGTCTCCACGAGGAAATCACCTAATGACCCGTTTCTCAGAATATGCCCCCTTCTTTAGGCAATGCATGACTGTACTTTATCTTGTTCTCAAAAATCCACGCTCAGTGTCTGGCACAGGAGTTACCTAGCAGGTGTTTTTTTAAAAAAATATATTTTATTAATTTTTTACAGAGAGGAAGGGAGAGAGATAGTCAGAAACATCGATGAGAGAGAAACATCGATCAGCTGCCTCCTGCACACCTCCCACTGGGGATGTGCCCGCAACCAAGGTACATGCCCTTGACCGGAATCGAACCTGGGACCTTTCAATCCACAGGCCGACGCTCTATCCACTGAGCCAAACCGGTTTCGGCTAGCAGGTGTTTGTTGAGTAAAAAAATAAGCTCCTTGTCTCAAAGAATCCCACTACCACCCACCTCACTGAATAAGCCAGGAACCTAAGTTTCACTCTTGACACGTCTTTCACTCCATTACCAAGTCAACTTAACTCCCCAGATGACTCTCAAAGCAGCTTACTTCTCTCCCTCCATCCCATCCTCGTGCCACAGCCTCCTGACAGCTGCTCTGTGCCTCTCTGGCCCTCCGGTCCATCTACACGGCAGCCAGAGTGATCACAAATGCAAATTCGATTTTAAAAGTAAAGAAGGTCCTTTATATGGCCTCGGCCCCTCCCAGCCTGAACCTGGGACACTCCCCTCCTGCCTCTCTTCACTGCTTTTCACAGTGCCCGCTCAA